ATTTTACAATTGACAATATTTGAGGGTTTAAGATGGATATCATTTAAAGTTAAAGATGTACTGATCTATTATTGGAAGTTAAGTGACTAAATTTTATATCAAATGGAAGATGATGGACTTCCTTTGCAAATTGTGCCTTAGTGTTCCACTAACTAGCACTAATTGAACCCAATTTACTCATTTATACACACGTAGAAGCGGAGAAATGGTGAGAAGTAGGAAACGGTAAAAGAAAAAGGAGAACGAAAGAAGAAAGAAAAGGAGGAAAAAAAGAGGAAAGAAGGAAGAAATTATGTGAAAACTTCTTCAAGCTTTAGTTCAATTTCTTCATTTCTTCAAGATGTAAAGAAGTAAAATTCGTATGGAATGATGATGTTAAATTTTATAGGGTTCTAAATTGTTGGTTTAATTTTCAAATTAAGTGGAAGGAGTATAGTTTCAAGCCAACCTTCTTAATTTGTTATGCTAATTGCATAAGGTAAGCAATTCTAGCAAATCTTAGAATTTTTAATTGGGTTATTCAATAAAAATAATTTGTGAAAGTGTTATGTTGATGGAATTACTCACATGAAAGCATGAATTTTTGGATAAGATGAAAGTTATATTGGTTGAGTTGTTGGTTGCTAGTTTTCACTAGATTGGAAGGTGTGATTATTTTTGTGATTGAGATGAAAGTTGGACATAGTAAATATTGGTGTAGTTATTAGAAAGTAGAATTAGCTCCAATTGATTAAATGAAATTTAGAGAATTTATTCAAGTGTTGAGAAATCAAGTTTTAGTATTTGGTTATTATATTCAGCGATATTCAGTATCATAGTAGTTAAATCAATTATTTCATATCATATTTCAAGTGGTGACGAATGGATTGAAAAAAACTTATTGACTTTCATAGCCTGTAGCTTGTTTTGAGTGGGTAGAAAAACTTGTTTTTAAAAAATAAGTATTTACTAAATTTATAGTAGATTAGAAAGTTACCTATTTTGTATAGTTAAATTGACAGCATGATTTTCAGAATAAAATGGATTTTATAATTTGTTCTTTTAAAAGTTAAATTCAGTTCAAATAAATTATTTTGTTATCATGTTATATTAATATGTTTCAATGTATCTATTGGCCAACTTTGAAAAACTACATGATCCAATTTTTCTAAAGTGCGATAAATGTCAACGTTTCTCTCCTATCCAGAGACGGCCTTCCCAAGAACTAACAGCAGTATCCAGTCTATAGCTATTTTCCAAATGAGGAATTGACCTTATAGGTCATTTACCCAAGGCTAAAGGTAGTGTAAGTTTCGCTATCGTCGCCATTGATTACTTCACAAAATGGGTTGAAGCCGATCCTCTAGCCAAAATTACAGAAGCCAACACTCCAAATTCTTGTGAAAAAATATTATATGTCAGTTCGAAATTCTCCATTCAATCATCCCAGATAATGGACGTTAGTTCGATAACAGAAAGGTTAGGGACCTGTGTGAGGAGGTGGGAATCAAGAAGCATTTTTCAATACCCTATCACCCTTAAGCAAATGGGCAAATGAAAGCCACAAACAAGACCATCAAGTATACTTTGAAAAGAAAACTTGATGTCTCCAAAGGAGCATGGGTTGATGAACTGTTACAAGTATTGTGGGCAATCCGGACTACAAGCTGGACCCTAATAGGAGAAACCCCTTTTTCAATGGCTTGTGGTGCTTAAACAATGAGCCTAGCAGAAGTCGAATTACCTTTCCACTGTCGATTGCAATTTAATGAAATATCCAACGATGAATTGAGAAGATACGAGCTCAATTTCCTCGACAAAAAGATGGATGAATCTCAAGTGAAACTAGCCGCATATCAAGGGAAGATGACCCGTTACTACACGCAAAAGTTAATAAAAGGTCCTTCCGAATAAATGACCTAGTGCTTCAGAGAGTTTTCCTATTTTCCAAAGAACAAGGGGCAGGTATGTTGGGTTCGAAATCGAAAGGTCTGTACTGCATCAAAAAAAACTATGACCTGACATTTATTTGATAGAAAACCTAGATGGGAAATACAATATCTCTCGTAGAACATAGAATATCTTAAAAAATACTGTTGTTAATGGGTTTTACGGCTGTAAAATCTTTCCCAACCCTTGTAAATATTTAGAAATGATTCAATAAAAGTGCATTTGTTTAAAGAGACTTAAATCACATGCATCCCATGATGAAACTGAAGGTCATAAGAGAAGCTCCTACATGAATGAATCATTCACCATGTATGAAAGCGTGAGTGCCTCGGAGAAGATGATCAGATCCCAAAAAGGGATTACCTCATTAATTTTCCATGGAGTACAACACATGCCTCCCAAATGAAGTTGAACATTATGGGAGAAGCCCCTATATGAATGAACCATCCACCATGTATGGAAGCGTGGGTGCTTCGGAGAAAATGATCAAATCTCAAAAAGGGATGACCTCATTGATCTTCGAGTCGTACAACGCATGCCTTCCATGACGAAGGTGAACATCATGGGAGAAGCCCCTATACGGATGAATTATTCACCATGTATGGAAGCGTGAGCGCCTTGAAAAAAATGGTCAAACCCCAAAAAGGGATTACCTCATTGGTTCTCCGAGGCATACAACACATGCCTACCATGATGAAGCTGAATGTCATGGATAAAGCCCTATATGGATGAACCATCCACCATATATAGAAGCGTAGGGGCCTTGGAGAAGATGATCAAATCCCAAAAGGGATTACCTCATTAGTTTTTCAAGGGATACATCACATGCCTCCTATGACGAAACTCAACGTTATGGGAAAAGACCCCACATGGATAAACCATTCATCATGTATGGAAGTGTGGGCACCTTGAAGAAAGGATCATATCCTACAAAGGGATTACCTCATTGGTTCTCCGAGGCGTACAACACATGTCTCCCATGACGAAACTGAACATCATGGGAGAAGCCCATATATGGATGAACCATCCACCATGTATGGAAGTGTGAGCGCATCGGAGAAGAGGATCAGATCTCAAATGGGATTACCTCATTAGTTTTTCGAGATGTACAACACGTCTCTCATGACAAAATTGAATGTTATGAAGGAAGTCCCCACATGGATGAACTATCCACCAACGTCTCGAAGAAGAGAATCAGATCCTAAAAGGGATTAGCTCATTAGTCCTTTGATGCATATAGCACATGCCTCCCATGACGAAACTAACCGTCATAAGAGAAGCCACTATATAGATAAACAATCCACCACGTATGAAAGCGTGGGCATCTCGGAGAAGAGGATCATATCCTAAAAAGGGATTACCTATGGGTTCTATGAGGCGTACAATATATACCTCTCATAATGAAGCTGAACATCAAGGTAGAAGTAGAAAAAATATTGAAAAATGTGTTTGGAGGTTCCATGTGTTCGCGAGATTAATCATTTGATTGTTTGAAAGATCATTCATCTTTGGAGCTTATCATATTTACTTTAGTTAAAATGAAAGATTGGACAAAATCAATACCAAAGAATCCCAGAAGATAAATGAAATATGCAATGAGGGACCGATATGGTGGCTAGCTCATAGAAAGTAAGAACGTGGAGAGGGGTGTAGGTGCGGATCTTGTCACGCCACAAGCTGGTAGTACGTGACGGAGAAGAAATAGCGTAAAGAAGAAACAATTTGGTTATATTGAGAGAGGTGCATCAGAAGCCTTTGAGGCGTTGGCTTTTGGTGGTAGTTGTGAGGAATAGAGGGTTTGAGGGGTCTTCCACGGATGTTCATGGATTATTTCGATGTAAAGAGGGAACAAAGGATATTGAGCGGATAAGAAAGAAAGGAAAGGAAAACCAACACAATTTTTCCTCCTCTCATCCTTCTGTTATCTATAATTTCTTTTTTCAAATAATAGATAGTGGAGGAGTGGATAAGCAAGCCCCTGCTCCGCTGGCATTAGTTCTTTCTTCAAGTGGTCACCATACGGTTTTCCATTGGATTTAGGTCAAATGTGGTCTCCATTATTTGAGATTATAATCTTTGGATTAATTTTTTGTTTTAATAATATGTGATTAAAAAAGAAGAAATTTTTTGAATTTACGTGTAATATTATTTTATTGAAAAATGTGTGATTGATAAGAAAAGAAAGAAAAATGGATTATAATTTTAATGGTGACCAAATGGGGGCTTAGCCTGGTTAATGAACAGTCAAATTTCAATTTAAACAAGAGCTTCTTTTCTCTTGCACTTTTTTTTTTTATTTTTGGAGAAAATTTTAGAACATGAGGATTTTCCTAATCCTCCCTTCTCAAAAGAAGAGAGGGAGATCACTGTTCAACTCCTGAAAACAAGTGTTGGAAGAAGTCTTCAAACAAAACAAGTAAAATTCATGGAATTCATAAAATTTAAGGAAAATTGCAGCCACGGTACCAAACCTTTCAACTTTTTGCGGACTTTGCCCAAACCTTTGATTTGTATTACCCACAGTACCAAACCTTTAAACAATTCGCAGGTCAAGTCCGAATGGATGTAAACTGTTAGTTTGATTGTTAATGGACTTCAAAAAATTATTTTGACCAAATCAACAAAGGGCAAAGTGGTAACTTCATAATTTTAACATAAAAAAAAGGGAAAATAAAACCTTATTATCTTCTCCAACCACCCCACTCCACCTCACCTCACCCCACCTCACCCCCACCCAACCAAAAACCAACACTGTCGGCACCACCACCGCCATCTCCAAAATATCTCATTTATAAATAAACCTTCACAATTCCAAAACAACCCTCATCTTTCAAATCTACTCCCACAGCAAAATTCAACCTCTATGAGATATTGGGAGGTAGAGGCCTCTGCAATGGAGAAGAAGGCCTCGAGAAAGAACTGAAAAATCTCCCGCCAACCCAGAGGAGGCGGCACCGCCAGTGGACACCCCTTAAGAGCAAGAAAAGACACCACCGCCATCATCAGAAGATAGATTTGAAAAGGAGTTACTATGTTTAACTGGTGGATTTCCAGGTAGCGAAAAGGGACTCATGAAGTCCATTGAACAAAATCCACCACTTAAGAAGGGAGAATCAACTATTGCTGAGTTTACTCCAAGCTCTGTAAAGAAGCCAAAAGCACCTGAATTGCCACCGTTATTACCTGGAATGATAGCCATTGTCAATAACCCTAGTAACCCCTTTTATATGTACTGTGGTATTGTCCAAAGAATTACGGATGGCAAGGCTGGGGTTCTGTTTGAAGGTGGGAATTCGGATAGACTCATCACTTTCTGGCTTGACGAACTCGAGCATCGCAGAAAGGGGCCTCCAATGGTGAACCCAAGGTCTGCAATCCTTGAGAGCATGGTAGAGAAACTGAATTGTAATGAAAAAAACCCAAAAAATAAGACCCAAGAAATAGGTATTCCAAAGAAATCCGAATAAACGAAGAAGAAAAGGCCCGGTTTTTTATGAAAAACCCATGAAATTCAAAGCAAGAAATTCAAAGAAAACAAGCTCTTTTTTGAATTATGAGAGAGAGAAAGAAAATTAAAGAAATGTAGAGACAAACCTGTAGCTAACCCCAAAAGATTCCCGCCCAAAAGCTCCAACAATAGTAGCAGAGTATACAATCTCTCTTTATAGGGCAGCAAAACTCTGAAACAAAACACAATCCAAATCAGGAGGAGGAGGAGGCGGCGGCGGTGGTGGTGGTGCCGGCAGTTTTGGTTTTGGGTTGGGTTGGGTTGGGTGGGGTTGGGTGGTGGAGAAGATAATAGGGTTTTATTTTCCTTTTTTATATTAAAATTATGAAGTTACCATTTTGTCATTTGTTGATTTGGTCAAAATAATTTTTGGAGTCAATTAACAGTCAAACTAACGATTTCCATCCATTCGGACTTGACCTGCGAATTGTTTGAAGGTTTGGCACCGTTAGTGGAACAAATCAAAGGTTTGGACAAAGTCTGCAAAAAGTTGAAAGGTTTGGTACCGTAGCTGCAATTTTTCCTAAAATTGATTGATTTTTTAATCAAACATAGCATCAAATTTTATATCAAAATTGTCAAACAGACTCTTAGTTGGTCCGGAGTTCCAAAAAAATAAAAAAATAAATTTTGCCCCTCGAGTGAATACTAATAATTTTGTCGCCCTAAGTGACATTGATTGTTCAATAAACGTGGACATCAACAAAATTGGTCAACAAATATTGTCGATGACATTATGAATATAAAAGATGAGGAAATCAATGCTATATACATTTTTTCCATTCACAAGGGCAATGTTCAAATTTTATGACTTGTCAAAAATAGTGATAAATTTGATAATCGAAGAAACAGTGCTACAAAATGATTTTCCAGCCAAGTGATATTTGTGTTAGTTCCTTTATAAATTCTCTACGTAGTTAATCAAATACTTGTCCCCAAATTTTGACCATTATACAACTCCGAAGAAATATTTCTCGCTCGACGCCTAAAGCATACTATGCTCCACTTCAACAAAAGAGAGTTTTCAATGGAATCAGAGAAATCACGCGAGTTTGTTAGATGTATGGGACAGAAGACTCGTAGTAACTACTATAGCAGCTATGTAGTGGAAGGGAAGGGAACTGGCCTAAATCGATCCCATGTATTATTATTAGGTGGTATATTTGCTTCATCTTCATGACTAAATTAATTCTTTACCCTTTTCTTTGCTAAACCCCTCCAATTGTCAATAGGTCAAATTCATCTTCCCCTTTTACTTAATTGTTTGAAAAGGTTGATGGGGTGCTAGTTGGAAGGAGGGAGGGAGGTGGGCCAGGTGGCCAAACTAAAGTGGTGTCGGGAAAGTTACGCAATAATTGACGTTTCTGCAGTATATTGGTGTATGTTTTGCAAAGTTGTAATTGCTTTTAATTATGAATTCTACTTAGAAATGTGTGAATAATAAGTATATTGTAATTTGTGTATCTTACGAAAGTATGGATAAAAAAGATGCACAATTAGCTTTTAAAAGTTCAGCTTTGCCAAATATGCTATAATTTACATGGCCAAAAATTCGTAATCAAACATCTACAAGAGTAATAATACGAGTGCATATCACGTGTAACTTTCCTTCCCAACCAAAAAATGGTGACACGAGAGGAAAGTGACCACCAAACTTCCCCCGCCCTTCTTACCACAACACATCTAAAAGGAGGGCTTCAACATTGAGAATGGGCATCTTCACCGAATGCTAGAAAAACTCTACAAATATAGGAACGACTTTCAAGCTTATATTTTAAAAAATCTCAACCATGCAATCTGCTTTTCTCATTGTAAATTCTTGTTTCATTAATCTGAAATTATATTCACATATCCACGTGCAAACGAACGGAATTTCACAATTCACGTCAATGGCGTTTCCATTTTAATTTGGAAAATGTATAGTTGCAGTACCAATCTTCTCAAAGCATTGAAGTCAAGATTGTATTTTGGATCAAAGGGCAATGCCATTTGTACAGCAACATTTAACCGAAGTGGTTGACAACCACTCACAATGGTGGGCCCCACTGTGAATAAAAAAATAATAATTACCCACCCATTCCATGTGTGAGAGATTGTCAACAAACCCACCCCCCTCCCCCTGTACAACTAGCACAGTCCTGGATCGAATTGATGAAGACATCTTGAGGATCGAAACGTTGAATCCGATCGAGGATCATAAGATTTTATTAAATATTAATTATTTAAGTTGAATAATTGACTTTAATTAATATTTATGTGACAAAATTACGAACACGAATCACCATGGATATCTGCAAAGCTTGCACACAACTATAAATTATATAAGCAATCACATCATTATAATTACATGAAACCAAGTCTAGTGATACAACTGATTCTCAATAAATTAATTAAAAATTCAAACCAAAAGAGGAAAAAATAGAATACATATTATATGTTAAAATGCAAAATGCAAAAGAACTCTTAAAAGTTACCATTGAAATAATAGGATGAGGAAGAGTTAAAAAATATCACGAATGAATGAGTGAATGCCACAATCAATTTTCATAAGAGATAACAGAAAACAAATGATAACATATTTCAGAATAGAAATTCTAGTTTTTGCCGTTTATTTTGATTTTTTAATTTACAATTTGGGTTTCGGTTCAGAATGAAACTCAGCCCAACTGTTCAACAACCTAACATACTTTAATTTATGAGGAAATTACACCAAACCCTATGTTTCAAGATCCAACTTCAAAAATCAGGTACAAAGTTTACTTATTCAAAAATCAGATATTTTTAATAAATTAATATATTTAAAATAAATATTTTTACTAATATAACAATTCAAAACTAAATTCATCTACCATACGTCCATAACCCTAATTCTCTCATCTCATCTCTTTCTCTCTCTTTAGCCCTCTCCCATCTCGTTTCTCTCTCTACAGCAGCGACGGCGCCGCTGCTGTGACGCCGCCGCCGCCGATGTGGCGATCCGTCCTCCTCACTTCTTAGTCTCCATTCTTCTCTCTGTCCCCATCTCTCTCACCTCATTCACTGAGCCGCATTGGGAGCTGCAACAGGGAGCACCGCGTGCACTAGAGTGGGCAGTGGTTGACAATGGTTGGTTTCTAAAGTGGCAATCTGATTTTGCAGTGAAGTGGCGATCTGATTTTGCAATGGTTGACAGTGGTTGGTTTTTGAAGTGGCGGTTGACAGTGGTGATGGTGGGCTCGGTGATGGTGGGTTTGTGTGTAGTCGCCATCGCTGTAATGACGAGGATCTAAAATGGTGGGCTTGGATATGGTGGGTTTGGGTTCGGTTTGTGGTGGGTTCGACGATCTGAAATTTTCCCTGGTTTGGTGATCTGTACCACGGTCCATGTCGTCGGTAGTGGTGATTAGGTGCTGCGATGGTCAGATGCCGGTGATGGTAGTGAATCTGCTTGGGATGTGGTAGTGGCGGTCGATTGTGACAGTAGCAGTGGAGGTCAACTGTGGTGATGGTGACTGGTGGTAGTGTTGCGGTGCTGGCGACCGTCACAGAGTAAGGGTGGTCGCAAGTGGCAGTGGCGGTAGTATGTAACCCATTATTTGGTGTATGTGACCAGTTATTTATTTATCTGCGACTAAGTATTAATCCGTGACATTAAAATTCGGTATTCGGTGACTAAAAAAATCTGTGACCAACCATTCGGTAATCTGTGACCAACTGATTTGAAAATATGTGACCATGTGACCTATAAATTTTGATCTGTGACCAACTAATTTTGAAATATGTGACCAACGAATTAAATGTGACCTATAAAATTTTTGAACTGTGACCATAAAATAATCAGTGATGTATAAAAATTATTATTTGTGACTGAAAAATAATATGTGACTAATTAAATTATAAATATGTGACCGTAATGATTGCCGGAATAGTCGTCGGAATGGTCATCGGAATCGGAACTATCGTCGGAATGGTCGTCAGAGAAGAGTGGTCGCTGGAATAATCTTCGGAGCAGTAGGGGTGGTGCATGTGGGGTGGGTTTATTATATTATATTAGAATTTAAAAAAAATATATATATATATATATAAAAACATGATTTTTAAATTGATGTAAACTAAACACCTTATTTATGAATTTTTGCCCGTAGGGAAAATTACACCAAACCCTATGTTTCAAGAT